ATAAGATCGATCAACTCATGAGCAAAGAAGTGAACTATATGTCCATACAATGCTGGCAGCAAGCCTCAAGGCCATCAATTCGTGGCAGACTACGTTCAAAAAATATGGAAAGTGGGTGGGTATAGGTGGGTATGACATCCCGAAAGTCACCATGGGTGGGTGTGGGTGGGCGAAGCTCATCCGAGTAAAGCATGGGTACCCAACCAGGACCCCATGTAGGTCTTTGATATATATGCAAGGGAGATTGAGGTGGCATCATCAAGCAATCACAAACATGCATTATTATCTAATTGAACTATTTTAAATTGTGATTGATATGCAGCTTCAAGAGATTAATCATAATAGATTTAGGCTCCATTTGAGACGACTTTCTTATATTCCTTCTTAAGCAACTTTCTAGTACAAAAATTACAATATTTATATTAGAAAGCAGTTTTAAGAAGCAATAAGAGAGCCGTCTGAAATGAAGTATTAATAAGACAAATAGTGAGTTGCTTCAAACATGAGCAATGCTGGAGGAAGAGCTTCACTCAACCAGCGAGCCCTACTCGCGATTTCAAAAAAGGATATATTTAATAGTGATGATACTGAAATGATTATACACTAATTTCAGAATATGAAAATTCGGAGAAAGAAATTGTAGGTAATATATAAGGAAAATATGACGAATAGATGTTCTCTATATATTACTAGTTTTTCTGTATCATATAACTTATTTTCTTATTTAATTGAAGAATTTTAAAGTCTATTTGTATCTAAATATTCTAACACAATTTTTTTCTATAAAAATAATTTCCACTGTGAAAAGAGAGAGTAACAAAATGAAAGCATGAACGAGACTTTATTATAAACAAATATATGACCACACTTACCATTGTAAAACGAAACTACTATTGATTTATAATATTGATGAATAAATAATAATAAAAAGTATTAGTAAAATAATTAAATCAAATTAAATTAAATCTAATTTGAACCTCGTTTAAATTATATAAAAATATTAATTTACGTGCGTTCGCAAAAGTCGTTCCCACCTCCTCGCGCATGCGAATTCGCACTTCTCCCTGCGTTGACCATTTAGTCGGCTTTCCAATCGATTTTGACTTTTAAGGTCACTAAAAGAGTCCGCATGTCAATAAATAAATAAATACTATAAATTTTAAATTATTTCTACCTAATCTTTCTAAAAGTATAGTGTAAAACAAAAAAATTTGTTTGACCATAATTTTTTAATTGTTTTTAATAAATTTTGTGTTATGAAAGTACTTTCTACAGCAGCTTTCAAAAAAGTTATATTTCTCAATAATAACTTTATAATAATCATTATAAAAAACTACAACCATCTCAAACAGACCCTTAGTTTGTCCATTCATATATTGTTGCTCATGTTGGCACCTTCTCCACTTAGGCTTTGTCTCAGACGGCTTTCTTTTTGCGTCTTAAAGTCTTTTGTGCTAGGAAGCTGCTTTAAGAAGCAATAAAAAAACAGTCTCAAACGAAGCATTAAGCTTCATTTGAGACAGTTTTCTTATTGCTATCTAAAACAGTAGCAAAGCCTTCATCACCTATTGTGATTCATCTTGATCATAACTCGCCAGTTCCGAGTGAGCTCATATCGTGACTAATTGCTCAAATACCTCTAGCCAATTCTTTGCTTGAGGCGAGCTCCCATCAAGGTTCTTGGCTAGAGATGTCGCGATTTGACCCTAGAGACGAGCTCTCGTTAGGATTACGTCCGATTAGTACCTCTCCTAGGATGCCTTAATTTTTTTTTTTAAAAAAAATTGAATCACTTTTATTTGTAAAATTGAAAGAGAAAAGCACTTCAATTATCATTCAATACTAAATTCTTGCTACCAAAAAAGCCATTAAAGTAAGCTATATATAAAAAGAAGAACAATTTGTTCACTTGTGGGACCTAATGCCGAGCAAGTTGCATCGTAATTAAGATCATTAAGCCAATCCTCTTTCTGCTTAAGATTTGAGCAAAAGCAACGGTATTTTAATTTAATATTGATTTTCTAAAATAAATTCCTACATAATATTTCATTTAATTTTCTCTTCAAATAAGATTTTTTATTATTATATTAATATATATCATAATTTTCGTTTCATTTTTATTTTATTTTTATTAATTGTAACACTACTAACGGCTAGTGCTATGTCTACGTCGTGTTTTCCACCTGTTATTTATCAGGCCATGACTCACGCGGCACTTAATCAAGCTTTTCTTATTTATTAATTAGTATTATTAATATTATTACTTTTACACGCGCAAATTTACTATGTCACTCACGCGGCACTTAATTAAGCTTCTCTTCTTTATTAATTAGTATTATTAATATTATTACTTTTACACAAGCAAATTGACTATGTCATTATCGTGCCTTTTTTTTCCAAAATAAAAAATGACTTTAGACATATATTATATTTTCTTATTTGTATAAATATAACTTTCATAAGAAATTATTCAATATGTGCTCCTTGTTAGGGGTGTAATCCGATCCAGTTAACCCGACTCATGAGTAAGCTTAAACTCAACTAAGCTCGAAAAGGTAATAAGACGAGCCTGAGAGAGGAATAATTATTAGGTCCGGTGACCGGACGTAGCTCTACGTTCGGTCACCACTGAGTTACTCGGTATTTGCTCGGTATTGCTAGGTATTGCTTGACAATAACGAGAAATACCGCTCTGTGAAGACCAATACGAGTAATACCGAGCAATACCGAGTAATACCGAGTTTTTCTAGAAAAAACTCGGTATTTCTCTGTATTGCTCCGTATTACTCTGTATTGCTCGGTATTGCTTGGTATTTGTCTTCACATAATGATATTTCTCGTTATTGACGAGAAAAATCGACAAATACATGATTTTGTGCCTGCTACGTGGCGCAATCTCAGTACCGGCCGAACGTAGCTCTACGTCCGGTCACCGGACCAAATAAAAGTTCCTGAGAGAGTCACGCTCAAACAGTAAGTTTATTAGCCTCCTTATTTAAAAAATGTTAATATTAAATAAATAAAATCTAATAAAAAAACAATAAATTTAATATAGAGTTGCAAAAAATATTTAAATGTTATATTTCTCTTTCTTATTTTAAATGTATTAATCTTTTTTTTCTCATTTAATCTCTTATAATTTTTACATCGTAAATATTAATTACCACAATTTCTTCTCGCCTTTGTTATGGCGAACATTGCTGGAACACATGCACGCAGGCTGGGGACAAATTATTCTGTGCGAATGCCGAACGCTGTTCGTAGACCAATCAGAAAGAGTCATGTCGGTACTGCGGCTCAGTGCTGCGCTCGATATTGCTGACGTGACTCATTTTGAATGGTCTCCGAATATAAAGCTGCATTCGGTATCCACACAAAATAATTTCTCTAGACTTAGAAGTTAGAAGCACCATGTACGTGTCCCAGGTAATCAACGTGGGATTGTCTTAATACGCACTATGAATGTTTTAGATGGATGTCATTTTGAACTGCCACAAAGTCTGCTATTCTGATATTAAGTCACTAAATCATTTTTTTAGTGATCTTAGGGTGATTAATTTAAACTTGACCTGATTCATTTACACTCTAATTAATTGGATGACATGAACTGCTATCATTATAATAGAACACGTTAATCTGCTTATCAAATATCTAATCATTTACTACTTTTTCCCATACTTATGTTACTGCTGATGTTTATACGCTGAAGAAAGATATCTTAACGGCGGAACACCGCCGATACTAAAACCGGTAATAACCGGCGGTATAAGCCACCGGAAGGCCGTCGGCGAATAAAACTGCCGGAAAAAGACCGCCGGCAATGGTTTCCTACACCATTTTTACCGGCGGCTTGAGAACCTCCGCGAAGCCGCCGGTGTTTCTGAAAACCGCCGATTTTACCAGTAAAGCCATCGGAAAAAACCGCCGGTTTTAACTGAATTTTCTGTAGTGGATGATTTACATTGAAAAAGCTGTCTCATTATATTTGGTTTAATTAAGCTTGTCCATCTTGTTCTTTCCTTGATCACTTAGATGCTCTTCAAGGGAAGGAGCTAGCCAGGCAAGTAAAGCCTAAAATCTATCTTGTTGAATTTTCTTTGCCTTGTCCAATTGTTCATTGTTCTTATTGATGTGAAGGGGATGCTGTATGTCCTGGTAAATTGGGATAATAGTATATAATCTCCTTAAAACTTAGGCTTCATTTGGTTTTTTTATCTTTTCCGTTTCAAAAACGTCACTGGAAGAGATTTTAAACAAAAAATCTACTACCATAACGCTTCTCAAAAGAGTAAAGAAATGGAGTTTCCAAAAAAACATGCGTCACATTCAAACAACGAAAAAAAAATTATGCTGTTTTGAAACCGAAAAGATAAAATTAAACTGTCTCAAATGGTCTTAGTTGCCTTAGGGCATCTCCAACCGAAAAACTCATTTTCCACTCCAAAATACAGTAAAACTCCAAAATGCAGTAATAACTTGACTCCAATCGAACTTCATTTTCTAACATAAAAAAAAGAATATTACTAGCATATTCTTTTTCTTATTTTATTTTAAATTTTTTTAATCATATATTTATATTTAACAATTTTAACCCTATTATAATTTTAAAAATTATGTTTCTTTTCTCGATATAAAAAATTTATGAATTATCAATCCTCATTCATTCCATTGCAACTCGAGAATTAAATGATAATGAAAAAGATAGTGATAGTGTGATTGAAAGCTTAGTTACTATATCATTATCACCCATTGTTGCTTAGCTTGGTTGGTGGGCGAGTATGGTTGGAAACCTCCCAACCCGTGTTCAATTCCCCTCGAGCAGCAATGTCTCTTAAATGGTGCTCAATCAAGTGCGGGCAAATAGGTTTCTAGGGTGGGTGTCTCTTCTAAATCAACTGAGAATTAGTCACGCCGCCAAACACCTTTTAGGAGGTGGCAGCGGATAGATACCCGTTAAAAAAAAAACAGGCAAGCTTCTAATTCCAGCCGCGTCAAATTAGTCAAATTGTGAAAATTAAGGTAAGTAATCTCTCTTTCTGCCTTCCCCTCCCCACTGAAAACGTCTAAGTCAGAATTACCTTGACCTGAATTCCTGCAAACTATGACCTTCTTCTTACATTCCTAACTGTCTTATCCATATATAAATACCCCAAATCCTTTCTGTTCTATCAAAAACGCCAGAGTACAAAACCAAATAACTCATTCAAAGTACCATCAAAGCCCAGAATTAGAGGGAGACAATAAGAGAGCAAGTTGAGAAGATCGAGAAAGACCAAATATAAGAAGAAGAAGAAGAAGAAGAAGAAGAAGAAGAAGAAAAGCCATGGCAGATGATTTTCAGCCCAGCAACTGGTGGAACAAAAGCAAGACTTGCAACGAGCACTCTGACTCTAAGTTACAGTTCTCAGGCTTTGGTTTCTCTGCTTCCTGCACTGATTGGAGCCAAACTCCAATGTAAACTCACTTCTGTTTCTATCTTTTATGCTCTCTTTTAATTTTTGAAAATATTTGAAATGATTCTTGTGCAGTAGTAGTAGTAGTAGAAGTGGAATAGCTGAACCTGCCTTTCATGCTATGCTTCAAGAGGATCTTAGCACAGCAGACTTTTTCAGGCAAGAGGTCAAAGAGACAAACCAGCCACTATTGCTTGCTGCTTCTTCTTCTTCCTCATCCTCTTCTTCTTCATATGCGCTAAGGACTCCGATGTCGATGATTCAAAGCTTAGTGGAACCAGATACGAAGTTTCGGCGATTTTTGTTTGATGATCAGCAGATGAGTGATTATCAGTATCAGATGGTTATGGCTTATGGCCGTGGTTCAAATGAGATTCATCAGAGCCCTTTGATATTCAGTGGTTTGGCTCCCAGGGAGCAATCTGCAGAGATAAATCTGATGCAATTCACAAATAGTTCTACATTCTTGAATGATTCCCCTGGATTTTATGATCATCCTCCTGCTAGCCCTATAGGAAAGCCCAGTTTCTCTTCCTTAATTGCTAAGGTAAGCTATGATGAAAGGAGCTGTTTTATTCTTCTTTCCTTTTTTTGATTTCTTTCTTCTTTTATATGTGATTGATACATAAAAATTTGATTTTTTATTTTTATTTTTATGGTGATTTGTGATGAACTGATCATAGAGCTCAGGGGAACATCAAGAGAGGAAGATCAGCAGCGAATCTGTGCTGAAAAAGCCTCGAATTGAGACTTCAGCACCCTTCAAAGTACGGTGTTGGATTCTATCTCTTTTTTCAATGAAGAGAAGGAATTCCTAATATGATCTTCTACATGAATACATTCAGTTCATTGATTATTTTTCATTATACGATCAAAAATGGGATTGATGGGAAATTTCTTATAGAATTTCTATCCAAAAGCAATATTTCATAGAAAGGTCTGTACTTTCTAAGTTTCGATTAACAACAGAGACTCATAAGCACTAATTTTGAATGTAAGAACAAGTGGTGATGAGAAAATTTTCTTAGAGATGTTTATATGATTTCTTTTCTTTCACACACCAACAAAATGTGATTGGTAAAGTGTGTTAATTATCATATATTTCCTTTATGAGTTATTGACTTGAATAAAAATAAAATAAAAATTCTTTTTAATCAAGCAAAATTTGATCTTTTGCTTTTATTTTCTTTAAAAACAATCTGTATGAATATGATAGACTTTGGAGTTTGATCTTTGCAGGTGAGAAAAGAGAAACTAGGCGACAGAATCACTGCTCTCCAACAGTTAGTTTCGCCTTTTGGAAAGGTATATCTTTTTCTTTTTTTCTTAAAGTCAAATTATTCTTCAAGAATATATATATATATGAGTGTGTGTATGTGCGCGTGAGCGAGAGATACCACAACGAAAATCATCTTGATCTAGCACAAATATGGAAGCATATTCAAGTGTGAAACTTTCAAAATTAAATGATGGACCATCCGAACTCCAATTTCAACAAAATGATAGTGCAATTGAAAGTCTCAAAAAAAAAAAAAAAAAAACCCAACGACACCAAAAGCAGTTCAATCCGAGCCCAAATGAGTCCAAATCAATGGGCTAATTAAAGCACATTGGGAAGGTTTAAAGCATTAATTGGATAGCTAAATGATATCCAAATACTACATGCTTATAATCAAATCGAGCGGCTTGATGAGACAATTCCAACGAGCCCAAGATCACAAAATTTTGACATCATTAAGAAACTTAAATTCTTAATGAATGATGTATGATCAAGATAATCAATATGAGTGTATGATGGACCACTTCGATTTCACCCTGGTTCTTCTCTAAATTTATGGAGCATGGCACTATCAAAAATTTATAAATGGACTCTCTCTTCCCATATGAAGGGGGGCGGGGACTTGGACCTTGGGCTCGAAATTGGAGAGAGCACAGAGGCTTTAAGGATCCTAGAGTTCTACCCAATTGCTGGCGAACATCTATATATAAACCACTGTCGGAACTTTGCCCAGCTACTGACCATCGACAGACCATCACCTGGCCGGCAATTCCCACCGGACCGCCGCCTGGTGGCCGATCTCCGCTGGACCACAACCCAGTTGCCGATTGCCACCAGACGACCGACTGGCTACCAAACCACCACCTAACCGTCAACCGTCTCCAGACAACGTACCGCTTGTCTACCTATTGTCATCAGACCTCTGCCCAATAGCTTGTTGAAGTCGAACCTCTAACCACCATTGTTATACAAATACAGTCCTTTCGACCTCCGTCGCCCAAAGACTACGGTCCCTCCGACCACCATCACCCGCCGACTTTGATCCCTCCGACCACCATCACCCACCGACAAGGTCCCTATGACCTCTGTTGCTTATTGACAAGGTCCATATGACCTTCGTCGCTCACCGAACACGTTTCCTCATACCATGGTTGTCGGCTGACAAGGTCCCTTCATTTCCCGCCAACAAGGTCCCTCCAACCTCCATTGTTTGGCCGACAAGGTCCCTCTGACCTCTGTTGCTCGCCAACTATGGTCCCTCCAACCATTATCACCTGACTACGATCATACCAACTATCCAACACTCTTTTAAGAACACCTATGATGTCTCAAGATCTTCCAACTTCTGTCATGTAATGTGCTCTATATGATATATATTCACTTCATTAAGCCAACACCTTCCCCGATGAAGGGCATATAATTTATAATCAACAATAAACACTTGTTGATTTTTTTTTTCATTTTCCCCCTTTTTTCAGGGATTTCTACGTAAAAACTCTGATGTCTCTTATGAATACAGTAACCTTATATCTTATATGTATGCGTGCTGGATCTTCATACAAAACTAGGGCGTTAAACACTCCATCTCTCTACCGCCACCCATAGCTTACTTATCTTCTTCTGAAGCCTCCTTTCCCTTTTATTGCAGACCGATACAGCTTCAGTGCTTCACGAGGCCATCGTTCACATTAAATTACTTCATGATCAAGTCAATGTAAGTCCTTAAATTCTTTGATGCAATTAAGAAAGAATACTGAAACATAATTATTTCTTAAAATTGTATATTAATATTTACATAGATTTTATGTAAATGGAACGTTCAGGTTTTAAGCACTCCATATTTGATGAATTTGCATCCCATGCAGCAGCAGAAGGTAGATATATAGATCTCTTCACTTGACTTTGAGTTCAGAAAAATTATAAATGCATGTAATTAAGTACTCTTGCATATATTGGATTATTTAAGCAGAACTCAGGCAAGTCGAAGAAAAGAGAGGAGTATAATATGCAAGACCTCAGAAGCCGAGGTCTCTGTTTGGTTCCAGTACCGACCACCTGCCCAGTTACCAGCGAAGCCAGTTCTCATTTCTGGACTCCAGCCTTTGGTGGAACATACAGCTAGGGTTCTGAGGAAGAAGATGATGGGAGTAAAGGCCATAACTGACTCGAAATGCCTTTGATTTACTATACTTGAAAGAAAAGCAAAGGCTTGCGAAAGAAGAGAATAATGATGGGGGAGGAAGAAAAGAGAGGAGTGGACAGTGCTTCAGATTTCGGAGGAAGAAAGGTGCTGTGAAAAGAAAAAAAGTTAAGCTCATCATAGAAATTTCAAATTTGTGTGATCAGTGTGCAGGATAATAATTAATTTAAAAAAAGAAAGAAACTTTGATCAGAATATAATGTAAATTAGCTTTGTCTTAGGATAAAAAAATGATTTTTAGTTTTATTTTGTTGTACAAAATAGTTGTCTTGTAGTTATTATATAAATGTCTTTGATTTCTGAAAAAATGTTTTGCTTTGTTTTTTTTCCCTGTAAATATTATAGCATAGATTTGCAGCTAAATTAATTTTGTCCCGTAGATTTTGGGGGAATTATTAATGTCAAAAATAATGCATGTGGAGATTGGAGAAGAAGAGTAATTAGATATTAATTTGGTAGATATCAGGCTCTAATTTAGGAATTTAGGGAGTGGGTTTCGATCAGAGATGTAATGGAGTTGAGTCTGATTTGAGCTTGAGTTTAATCAATTAATCAAGCTCCAGTTAGAGCTCAAGCTTACTTCTACGACTTTTAGCCGGCTCACAATCCATAAAGAATGAAAATTATTATGATTCAAGTAATTATTGTAATAAAATTAGTTAAAAAAATAAGAAAATAGAAGATAATTAATAAACACTCACTTGGCATAATGAAGTTTGATATAATTTTTAAATATTTTATTAGTTTTATACTTAATTTTTTGAATTCAAATATTTTTTAAATGAGATTGCTCATGAGCTAACAAGTTCAGTTGAAGTTTAGATAGATCTCTCACAAGACGAAGACGATGGCGGGAGCAGATCTGTATTGCAGGAAATGTTCGATTGTCATCGATATAGATCGAATTGCTGGAATGGTTGCTAGCTGGTGCAGTTCGAATCGACGGTATGGTTGCTAGCTGATGGAGATCGCCTTGTGACGCAGGCTTGTACTGCCCACAAAAGCATCAAAACCCTGATCGTCGTCAAGGGTTGTATATCTTCCTTCATGCATGGTCTTCCCCAAGCATCCAAACCCTGACCGACGTCAAGGATTATAGTGGCTCTAATACCATTCAGATGTAGAGAGAATACATGAAAAAGATAGATTTAAGAGCTAAACAACTTAAACACCTAAAAATAATAAAAAAATTATTTCAATTCCAAAAATATCATCATCTATCTTTTCTTACAACCATTCTATTTAAACTAGACAGTTCTAGAAACACATAACAAACTAAACAATTATAACTAAGAAGTATTTAAACTAAGATGCTTTGCATCACTTCCTGGAACTAATGTGATTCTTACAAGTCTTCATCTTGCAAACTATTACTAAATAAGGAGTAAGATATGTTGCGTCTGAATTTTTTCATGGGTCATATGGGTCATATGTCATAAAAACTCGAATTGATTGACACGAATCTCAATGCAAATTTAATTTAGAATATTTCATAATTAAATTCAAGATCATTAATTTTGAATTTTTTTTATTTCAACAAACTTATAGTCAAATCGAACATTGTGACGAGACGAACCCATTGATAATAAAAGTGGTCATATCTAGGTCTAAATAAGCTCAGACCAAGTACTTGAAGTATAACAAAAACATTTTAAAAAGTTAATTGGGCTACCAAATGATATCCAATTCTACTTATTTATAGTTAAATCGAGCATCTTGATGATGTGAAGCCAATTACAAGCCCAAAATTGTCTAATTTCAACGTAATTTAGTGCACTAAATGCTCAAAGAATGGTTTATATTGAGAGAATTAATGAGGGTGATTCAATGGAGTGTTCTAAATTTTGGTTGTATTTACGAGCATGCTATATATATATATATATATATATAGCTGCAAAGACATTTCGCAGCAGTTTAAGAATCGGCGGGGAAATTCAACGAAGCGCTCGCGGTAGCAGCAATTATAATCGATGCAAACGTAAAAAATTGCATCTGTTATAACCGCTGCAAAAATCATTTAAAAAAATGATTGCAGAATTGTTGAGGTTTTAACTGCTATAATTCTGCTATGTTGTGGCCGCTATAACCGTCACAAAAGCCTAGAATTAAAAAAAAAAAAGAAAAAAGAATTAGATATATATAGATATACATCAGCAACTAATATAATTGATATGTATAAATAAGCATGGACAAGCGCCAATCATTATCTGACTCTTTCAAATATGTAAATTTATTGTAAATGCATCGATTACCAGATACCTAAACTTCAAATATAAGTTAAATCATCATTCAAATTATTATGAATTTTTACATTTAATAAAGGTTCAGAACGAAGAAACCTTATTTTGCTCTCCTTAAACGATCATATCTTGGAAGACAGGCTCTTTGTAACATATCTATTAGATTTGAGTCCTTTGCTATAGAAGATATTTTACAATAGCCATTATCAAAATCTTAGAAGCATAAAATAAGTGTAACCATTGTCTTAGGTTCAAATTAATAAGAGAGAATCAATTGGAAAATGCATCATATTATGTACATCAACACACATTGTACTCCCACTACATCTGATAGGATTTTATTGCTCATCTTCACAAATCAAAATAAATAAAATAAGCATGAATATCATGACAATTTTGAAATAATAGAAAATCATTCCTATAAGACATATCCCCTCTTCTGGGACAGGAGCTTGGTCACAAAATGAATGTCGTAGAGTCTGTTGGGTAATACTGCACTTAAACTCTCTTGTGAATCTATGTGGATCGGAGTAGAAGAGGTTTCAGAGTCCCTACTACTTTCTCCTCTACTAGTTCCTCCTCTACTTGATCCACCTCAGCATATTGCTTTTTTTTTTCTCTCTCTTCTTAAAAGACTACATCCTGTAATTTCCTGAAAAAAAAATTTAGCATTAATAAATAGCAATAGATGAAGAGCAAAAAATGAAGAGAAATATCTATAAAGCATGAAATAATAATATATGAATAGCACTATATGAATAATTTAGTCTTTATGATATTAACATTTGCCCCCACTTAAATTTATTTGCTACGAGAAATACTTGAATCATATACAGCTTTAGGCCTTAAACGAACAACGAAATTCAAATTTGTATTTTTAGGATCTTGAATATAGAAGACTGGTTCAACTTGTGAAAAGAAACTAAATTGATCACCTTCTAATTTATCCAATGTGTGAATTAGACGTGAAAACAATCACCAAAGTGTAACCAAATTGATCTTGCTTTACATCGGTCCCAGTTATGCTTGCCCAATTGCATTTGAATAGTATCACTTTGAAACTATATGAATAATTTATCTCAATAATATCATTAATTTTCCGTAGTAACTGAAATATCCAATTTCTGTACTATTAACAATACCATAATTCTGAGTTTTTTTATTCTCATCTATTGTTTTTACGTGAAAGGTAAATCCATTAATACTAAAACCTTTATATGTACATACAATTTTATTGGGTCTCTTGATCATGACCTTAATTTCTTCTGTTACTTTTGGACCACCATCACTCATAACCTAAAAAAAAAAATGACTTTACAGAAATTGGAAGATTAAATATTAAATGAGAACATTAAGTTTAACCTTACAGTTATTCTCAACCATTCATAAAATTTTTTGTTAATAAGTTTCTCGATATTCTAAATTGTAAGATGTGTGTGCTAGCACCTCTTTCTTTTCTCACAATCTTTGAAATGTTCTCTAATTGGTATAAGACTATCACAATGACATACCACATATCTGTGTGCTTGGGTTAATGATTTCTTGACTAGCACAAATGAAGAGACATTCCCCTACAAAATTCCACCACTAGAGAACATAAACACATATTCCTTTTCAAGTGATGATGCAGTTGTTCTAATATTTTGACTATACCCCTCCAAATATTTTGCGTCTGCACATAATAATCTCTCTTCTGACGAGTTCTTCAAAGAGAAGTGCCTCCGAAGTAAATGCCCCTAATTTTTAATATCAACTTTAATTTAATTAACAAGAAAAATGAAGATTCTAATCTATATAATCTACTGGAACATTAAAATTGTTTTGTTTTATAAGTAGTATGTCACAGAAATTCATCTATTTAAGTCTGCGAAGGATTATATTTTTTATCAAAATATTACATGAGATGGAAAAAAAATCTATCTACTAGCTAGACTTATTTTTATCAGAGATTTGTAGGGAGTTGAGAGATATTTTCAAGCTCTGGTAAGAATATTGTTTTCTCGCATTCAATGGACGATATTTACACCATATGGCAGTCAAAGGCGTCGGAGGTCAAAATGAAACCTGCGGCTTAAATTAGAGAATAATTTTGTGTGAAAGAGTGCTTTTGATGGCTGGAGGCGTAGCGGTTCGATGCGCTGCTCTATACAAAATTGACAAGATTTACACCATGGCTAGCTTTTGAAGACCTGAATTCAGTTACGTTTGGAGCTCCAAAACTCTTTCGTTACTTGATAGAGCCAAGCTTGAACAAGATTGCTGTTATGGAATTTAAAGTTTGGAATTTAAAGCTTGAACAACTGCAATCTTTTTAAAGCTTGAATCCATCAAGTAACAAAAAAGCTTTGGAGGTCCAAAAGTAAGTGAATTCAGGTCTTCAAAAGCCATGGTGTAAATCTTATCACTTTTGTATAGAGTAGCGCATTGAACCTCTACACCTCCAGCATCAAAAGCACTCTTTCACACGAAATTATTCTCTAATTTAAGCTGCATGTTTCATTTTGATCGACCTCTGACACCTTTGACTGCCATAGGGTCACAATAATAAGCATCTTTATTTTCATCATCATCATCATTATCATTAATCATCATAATCTTTTCATTATCTACTAGTTTCGTCTTTGGAAGAAAAGGGGGCAAGGAATCGATGAAGCAACTTTGGAAAGATATCCTAAGGTTATGTACAGTGAAGATAAGGTAGATTTAACTAGTAAATGTTGTTTGTAGTATTTGTTTGTTTGTCATAAGAATGCAGAAATGATATGACGATTACCAAATTGCGGGCATAAGTTTCATGTTGAGTGTGCGGATGAATGGCTCTTGTGGCATAGGACATATCTGCTTTGCCTAAACACAGATCTCCCAGTAGTTCAATGATGACATTAGTGGGTTCATATTTAAGAACATATTATCAATCATGTGGAGAGTTTGTATTAAACATAGTGTTGAAATTAGTTATCATACGACATTCTAGTTTGAGTTTATTATGTCTCGACAGTATTGATTACGAATTGAAGTTCTGTTTTCAATAATTGATTGCTTCACTTCAGTGAGGTAAGATTTTAGAATTCCTTGTCATAATTGGTA